ACGCCCCGCCGTGGCAGCGAGAGGGCCCCACAGGAGGCCCCCCCCCAAGAAGAGTGGCGTCCTCGCCTCGCCCCCTGCCCTCCCCTGCGCGCCGCCAGCCAGCACGATCCCCCTGGAGTCCCTCGAGTCTCTGCGGCCAGGTGACGGAGCGCGGGACGCGGGGATCGGCAGCGCAGACACCCGCGCGCAAGCTGCCCATCCTCCTCCTCCTCCTCCTCCTCCTCCTCCTCCTCCTCCTCCTCCTCCTCCTCCTCCTCCTCCTCCTCCTCCTCCTCCTCCTCCTCCTCCTCTCCTCCTCCTCCCTCCTCCTCCCTCCTCCTCCCTCCTCCTCCTCCTTCCCTCGTCCTCCCCTCGTCGCTCCTCCTCCTCCTCCTCCTCCTCCTCCTCCTCCTCCTCCTCCTCCTCCTCCTCCTCCTCCTCCTCCCACGGTCGCGCGCCAGCGCGCTCTCTCTCTTTCTCTCCCCACGTGGTGTGCAGCGTCGCCGACCTGCGGCAGCCGCCGCGTGAGGCCGCGGTGCACTCGCACGCGAGGCCGACTTTTAAGTCGGGTGTGTCCCTCTACAGGAGGAATATTCAAAAGTACTGAAAAAAATAGTCTGTGGACGATTTGTTGAGTGTTTTCTGGTATTTGCTTATATTTGTGTACTATGTTTTATTTGTCGTCCAAAAGCCGCCTGTAGGGGGACATGCCCGACCTAAACCCACTTCTCTTCGCAGCTCAGGCGACGGCATGCAGCGGGTGACCGTTAAGAACACGTTCGTGCACGTGGACGACCCGCTCCGGCGCACGGAGTCGGACGAGCCCATCCTGCGGACCCAGTCCGCCCCGTCGGGCCCCAGCCGCATACCCGTATCGCCGCGCAGGGGCTCCCACGAGGTGCCCATCGAGGAGGACCCAAGGTGTTGGCAGAAGCGGCTGTCAGCCCACACAGCAGGCACGTCTAATTCAAAAAACGGCTTGCCAGCAGGTGCCCCACGGAAGTTCTTCATCTCCCGATGACCCTGGGGCCCACATGAGCTCTGGGGCACCTTCATCGGGATCCCGCAAAGGGGGGTGGGGGGGGGGGGGGCGCAGGGTGGGTTGTGTGAGTTCGATCGGCTTTTGCACCGAACCGCCCAAAACAGATGCCCCCCAGCCGCCGGCAGCTCCAGATAGTTGCCGATAGGTCGGGCATGCGGGGGGCATCTGTTTGCAGCGGTTCGATGCACCAAGAGATAGAATTCATGCCCCCCCTCGGGGTCATCCCTCCTTTTAAGTGGATCCCGACAGCAGACTCTCAAAGATCGATGAAGAACGTGGCTCAATATTTCTTACCACAAGAATTGTGATCGTGTCTGCCTACTGTACTGTCTAG